TGCGATCTGTGTGATTGAAATTGATTTTGGTATTGCCTATTATTCTGGTAAAATCTACTACCGTTGTGTTTTCGTACAAAGTTATTTGATTTGCGGCTCCTATCTTGGTAGTTATTATTATAACGATAATTTCCTCTTCTATTATGGTATGAATTTTGAAAATGAATTTTTTTGACGTGATACATCTTATTTGGGTCTCCTGAAAATTTTCCTGAAACTTCAGCTTCTAATAATGCTATTTCTACAGCTTCGCTAAAGGTATTTACTCTTGATGATAAGACAACAGTTCTGATTTCTCTATTAAGACCATTTTTGAAAAAAATGAGTGTTTCTTGATCGGTTAAGTTCAAGATAGTCTGGCGTGCATCGTTACCTTGGGAAGCTATATGTATCTGATTTAGTTCGTTAATTAAGCTTTCTATTTCAGCAGCGTATGCTGAAACTGATTTTATACCTTGATTGGTTTTACTCAGTTCGAAATGTACTGATGCAAGTGTTTTCCTTGTCTTGAAACGATCGATCAGGCATTTTTTTAATTCATTAAATGTTGTAGGTGTGCCAATAATTGCATTTTTGGCTTTTCCCTTAAGCTTTATTTTTGAAAGAAAATTCAGAAGTAGTGATTTGTTTGCATCGTCTTTCAAAGAATCATTGTAATATTCGGCAGAGTCAATAAAGTCAGTTACTTTATCATGGTCACCAGCAAAATCAGGTATGATTTGGAAAGCTACTTTGAAATCAAATTCCATTGTTGAATAAGTTTTGTTGTCAGTCGAGTTGTCAGTTTTCGCATCGATTTTGAGCAGATTTTGCAGTTTAGAGTTTGAATCGTTAATTAATAATGTTGCTTCAAGTTTTATATCACTTAACAATAATTTATGCAAGACTAGCAGTTTCTAAGAGAGAACTATATTGAGAATTAAAATTGTTTACTAATTCTGATAATTGGGCACATTTTTGTATTAAACTTTCCTCTTTGTATACTCTATTTGGACCACCTTTTTTTAAAAATAAACACGAATCTTCTCTATCTCAGCTTTAGTGGCTAATAATTGTTGGATAGATATCATTAGGCATCAAAATTCGGCAATACAATGCAAATTAAAATATTTAAATATGAACAAAAATTACTGATATGCATAGTGCATAGCATAAATGCGATAAGAAAACGAAAATATTCGAGATTCAAATGGGTACTCATCACTAATCCTCTTCCTTGGGGGTTGCTCCTGGAGTCCTCTTGCATCTGCTAATATTCCTTTGTGGTTGGTTTTTCAGCTCGCGCCTTCGATGGGTGTCTGGGCCGTGAAATCTTCATTGGTAGTGGGCTCCAGAGATATCCTTTTGGCACTGCACTATATGTCTTTTTATAGTTTTGTCTCTGCACTGACGCGGGTCACTCTTAATATAGTTTTCCTTGTGTTTTTATACACTGCTGGTTGTCACTTGTGCTCTAATATTTCGCACTACACTGTTGGCAATTGATTTTTTGAAGTATTTGGTGTATAAATAAACTCCAATACAGCAAAGCAGGATCACGAACATAGAAATCATTGTTTCAGCGATGATGAATGATGAAGTGAGATGAGCGCTAGCGACGTCTTGGTTAGTTTTGTTGATTTGGTTAACCTGGACCTCATGGTTGTTTTCTTCTTTGGTGTTCTGATTTCCCATATTCGTAGCTTATTTGGCAGGATCCAGTAAATGAAGTATCAAATTTTGTTATCGCGCACTCACATATCCTGTTTTAGAAGAAAATAACTTGCTTCTCAAATTAGCAGGATTCTTAAGTAGTCATCAGGATCCTTGAATTGGCAGGATTATTAAATTGGCAGGATTCTTAAATTGGTAGGATTCTTAAATCGGCAGGATCGCCATGTAGTGTTGATTTTGGTGGTGGTGAGTTTTGATGTTGACTCAAAGACGGTTGACGATAGAATCTAGTTTATTTCCCAATTGATTATAATAACCGATTATGCTTAGGTGGAAGTGCATTGCACTTCAGTTGTATTTTGTTCGCTTATTTCAAATATCGACCTAATTATTGTGCAACGTTAGAGTTTTGCTGAATAGCACTACAGCATGTATTCTGTCGATAATGTCCTCTCTTCTCTATCCTCCTGACATTTATCATTCGCGATAGAAATAGAATGGCTAGCCATATCCTTCAACTTCTCTTTGTTGCTAAATAATGAGAGTTTCTTCAGATAGGATATGAACTCGAACAAAATAGGAGAATTCGCTGCCTTTCCCAATGAATAACAGTTGTTGATGTTGTGTTTATGTATTTCTACATCTAGTTGTGCGATCAAAATCTCGAGAGTTTTTTCTAGTAAGTCTGAGTTGTTCTTTAGCTCAAGGCCGAATATTACAACGTTGTTTTTCCTTACTCGTCTCTCCAATCCCAGGCATCGCTTTTCTATTGCCTCGTACCTTTTCTCGACATCAACAATTTTTAATTTTCATTAGCTACGACCAGTTTTTTATACTGTTCCTCTAGTGTAAGTTTGTCTGCTGTCATACTACTATTCTCCTAATTATAGGTACGCCACTGGTGTATTTCCTTGCCAACCTGATAAGATTCTAACTAAATGTTTCTCCTGTGATAGGGGGTTCCAGTTTTCATTGGCTTGATTTATATTACTGTTTCAGGTTTTCTATCATAGCTTTTTTGTTCCAATTTGATTTGCTGTGGCTGTTATTGAGTGTGTTTCAATACAACTTTAATAGTCTATCTAAGACTGAATTTCAAAAATAATTTACCTAATCGGAAGAGTACACTGTAACTGACAGACTGGTATAACTTTCTTATTACTGGATGATATATTAGCACGACAAATTGACTTTAATGTCCGACATGAATATCACAGCCTTACACCTCGTTGACTAGACAGATACCTCAATACACCCATGAATTCTGGAAATCACCTTGCCTCAGCTTGACTAATAGAATACGGACACAATCACATTTTTGATAGCAACGTGCTCAGTTTCTTTTACTACTGATATTGTATTTTTTGATCCAAAAACAATGACTTGAGTTTTTGTAGGGTTAACTGATGAACCATTATTGTAACACCAATCTACAATAGAATCAACTTCAGTGTATACAGTATTGGAAACATATGCAATTTTGTCGCACGGAATGCTCATTAACCACTAGCCTGCAGCTCATGCTGCAAACTTAATTCTCGTGGGAAATGACTGTCTTTCCGTGGTTGTAGGGCAATATATTATTTTCTACGGCTATAACACAAGATTGCTCTTGTTTCACTGTTATCTATAGATCAATAAGGTACATTGTACTAATGTCTGCAATTTCATTTCCATATCTGATGATATGATTTCATTGTAATATTATTTCACAATGAATGTCATTCCCCATAAACTGTCGTATTCCAAGCAATGACAGCTCTGTCTAATAGAGCATTACTTGAGAGACAATCAGATGGCTACAAGCGGACGAAATCAGGAATTATCTGTTACAGCCGTAGAAAAAGTATAGTGTATAACTCACACGAAATGATAGTCATTTTCGAAGAAATCATACGAGTGGGGAATCAGCATTAGCATAGCTAGACGGAAGAATAATAATAAAAACAAGCAGTGCCAGCTTTAGAGCGATGGGAGACTCTTGAGCACCATATAAAGGGCGAGAAAATATTTTCAAATTCATGAAATAAGTCTTGGAATACGAAGATGAATAATTATTTGCCTATGTGACACATAAATACTATTGGAACTGTCACGATATGATGATTAGTACATATTATTAGAGAGGTATACTAATTTCAGGATTTTTTCTATTGATATTCAAACTAGCAGTTCACATTTTTATATCTATAATATACCGGGTGACACAGGCTATCGGGCCACCCCTGTAACTTCTGCATTCGTCAACGGATTTTTCTGAAATTCGGTACAGTTATATAAGCAACTATTACGGATTTGATCACATTACAATCCAATATGGCGGACTTCCGGTTTTTCTGGAAATGCCAGCAATTTTGTTTTTTCAAATGGAACACCCTGTATATTTTTACATATTCAATTTCAACAGGTCAAAACAAGTGCAATCTTGATGTCAAATGTCATTTATTCCACAGCCTACCTAGTTGAAAAATTATTCTAACTGCAAGGAAATTCATAAACTAGTTGTTGATTTTTGAAGGTATACAATTTGTTACTGCACCGAAAAACAAAAATGATATTTCATTTTGTTCCTTGATGTATGTTCTAGAGAAACGGGTAGGTGGCCTATAGGGGTTCCATTTGAAAAAAAATAATTTTTGATCAAAAAGTGATGTGGCTGAATTGATTCCTGGATAAGTGACACAAAAAATAATTTTTCAGAAAAAATTATGTTCTTCTGTTATGTGTGACTCATTGTGAATAGTCTTGACCACATCTCATTTATCCACGAGGTAAAATGAAAAAACAATTTTAATTTAATTTTTTTCGAAAAAATGACATTTGAAATAAAGATTGCACTTGTTTCGACCTGTTGAACTTAAATATGTAAAAATATACAGGGTGTTTCATTTGAAAAAACAAAGTTGCTGGCATTTCCAGAAATACCGGAAGACCGCCATATTGGATTGTAATGTGATCAAATCCGAAATAATTGCTTATTTAACTGTACCTAATTTCAGAAAAATCCGATGACGAAAGCAGAAGTTACAGGGGTGGCCCGATACCCTGTGTCACCCGGTATACATATCTGTCACAAAACCAATTACTATACTGCAAAATATATTAAATCCTGTCAATTCGAAACATCAAGTTTCCTTTAACAAACGAAAAAAATAACATCAATATCAAAATACCGCTGTTCTTGACATCACAATATTTCGAATATAGTTCATTTGATTCGTATAGGAGTCTGGAGGACTCCACTCCATATCAGCGGGAGGATTATGGGTGTTTGTGGTTGAGGGTTAAACGAGCATAAGTATCAGACGAATATTTGGAATTCACAAACTTTTCTTGATTCTTTTCAGGTTTTATCATTCTTCTCATTTACGTGAACACATTCGACGTCATACTGGAGAAAAACCTTTTCAATGTGCTGTTTGTAATAAAAGGTTCACCATCAAGGGTGAACTGACAATGCACATGAAATCTCATACTGGTGAAAAGCCCTATGCTTGCACGTGTTGTGACAGGAGGTGTCTCACTGCAGCTGATTTGAAGGTACAATAACTACAAAGGGTACTGTTATACATACTGTGTGGTCCATTAAAGACTTTCCACCCTCGATAACTCTCTGACAAGGAGGGGGACACCGTTTGACGCGAAATAGATAATCGTACTTCAACCCTCGACTCCCTGCAGCAACCCCCTCAATAATTTGAAAAGAGAATCAGGGTCTTGTTATACATAATTGCATAGGTAATTCAACTCTCACACTAGGATTGCGAAGTTTTTTAATTTCAACCAGGCGTTCCTGAGATATTCGAGTACAAATGGAATGTTTTTTGATTGTCTTCAAATGAGTTTACGGAATGAATTATTGAATAGGCATCCACAACAAATGTACAATATGATCTTGATTGACCCCAGACAGTGGTGGAGTCTATTTGCAAATTTCTAATGCACATTTGAAGATGTTCATCTTGTTATTGTCTGGCATTAAATCCTTATTCTTCTTTCCAAATCGTTCCGGTCAGTATGTTTGGTTTTGAAGATAAGGGATTCCAGATTATTCCTTGAAAAGGAATAATTGAAATAAAATGAAGAAATAATTGGGTGCCAGGTCCGGCAAACGTGCTGGCTCTATTGGCTCTCTACAACCTATCCATTTGTTCGGGAAATTCTGGGATGGACATTCTCCCACGGACCTCAATAATGACGGTACTAGAAATCTATCGGCAGATAATATCTATTTTCTACAAGATAGTGCGTCACCTCCTTCCGTATTACAGGTGAGAGGATGGCTACCCCAAAAACTCCCCAAACAAATGGATAGGTCGTAGGACTAATAAAATGGTCAGCAGGCTCGTCGGACACGGCACCTATGCTTTTTTTCAATTAGGGTAATTCGAAATCCGTCATCTATAAAACGAAATCAACTGATATGGACAATTCAGAAAGGAGAACAAGTATTGAATGCCAGGCATAAATAGAAAAACATTTTCAAATGTGCAAGAGGAATTTGCAAATAGACTCTACCACTGTCTGAGAGTCAATGGAGGTCAATTTGAACGTGGATAATCATTCAATAACTCATTCCGTACATCCATTTACTCACAATCAAAGAACATACAATTTGAACCCGACTATCTCGAAAACGGCATGTTGGAATTCGAAAAACTTTGAACTGCTAGTGTCAACATTGAATCATCACCTTTGCAATGATGTATTACATGAACCTTATTCCCTATTCAAATTATGAAGGGGGTTGCTGTGGGGAGTAGAGTATTGAAGTATGTATTATTTCTTTTGCGTCAAACGGTATCCCGCTCAAAATAAAAACTGGCATGTTTCGTTGTTTTTTTTTGGAAAATCAATTTTTTTAGAGTTATCGAGGGTGGATAGTCATTTTCAGTTCAGTTCCAAAACTTTGAAATCACTTATCTGAAGTAAACATGTGTATCATATTTTAATCGGAAAAATTTTATAGGGGATAGAATTCGTAAAAATGGAGGGAATGATTTATAAAAAATTATATGTTTCAGAGCTTCATTACCGACTCACAAGATTTTCGAGAAAAATAGTTTTATATTCACATCTCAAAAACTCCTTATGTAAGCTCCACACTCATAGTACGTGAGAATTTGCAGAAATATTAGCTTCCTAAGTAAATTACTTCGAACTCTAATCGTGACTTTTTTATATTTTTTATTTCTTGTCAGATCTATATATGACATTCACAGTATACATACAAGGTAATCGAAAAATAAAGGAGAATGAGTAAATATAGAACGAGTAATCTCTACATTCTCGAACCTCCAGCCGAAGTAAGGAATCAACAGACCGAATGAACTTTGCCCTTGTTATATTCACTCTAATGGAGACATATTTTTTCTTGTGAAAACTCCGTGAATGTCTTATCCAGTGAAATTAGCAGCAGGACGGCCGTCCACCAGCCGCTGGAGAAAAATTGAGTTCGGCATACCGGCACTCAACACATGTAGAGTCGTTAAAAAAGTGCTATTGTCGTAGATTTTCGTCCAATGCAGATCTTTCTGATTATCGGTTGAGGACGTTGACATATGGGTTGTCCTGTTCACCATATTTGGCCATCAGATGTTGACTGAAATGGGCTGATGACTCCGAGATGAATTAGTTTCTCTATTGAAGAAGGGAAGATTCGAGTTGCGGAAATGGTGCAGCAATGAAAAGTTTTAGGGTTACGTTGGTAAACCATGGAAGATTTTGTGTTTTTTCAGTAAATATCTTAGATCGCCCTTGTACCAAGCGACTCATCTCATCAGAATTCGCTCGTGTCTTTGACTCGCTTGGATTAATTACTCCAATCAATTCTTCGCGAAACATATAATCCAGCAGTTTTGGATACGCGGTTCAGATTGGAATGATAGCTACCAGCTGATATATTGAGGATGTGGAATAAGTATAAAATCGTTTCACGCCGATTAACACTCGATGATTTCGTATCGGTGGAAAACACGGATTTTCTGACGCGTCCACGAAAGGTTACTGAGGTGATATCTTTTTCCGATTTATATCACAAAATGCAAAACTTTCAAAATTTTTTGCATGCGGAAAATCGAAAGTCGTTCCAATAAAATTTATTAGTAATATATAATTATTATTTTTATTCCGCGTTTAGATTTATGTGGGGCCGTGTTGCTCACAAAAATAATGATGTGGGTTTTGGAGGTATATCGCGGAATGTTCACATTCTCTAAATGTTGTGCATATTCAGACTCGCAAATTGTCTTATCCTGGATACGCTCGGATGCGTGTCGATGGCCTACTTTTGTTTCAAACCCAGTTGCTTTTATTCAAGATAAACTACCCTCCTCGGCATGGTGGTTTGTTCTATCAGAGTTGAACCCAGCTGATGCAGCGTCCTGTGGGATCTCGCCTGGAGAAATGATCGAAAACCAGATGTGGTTTCATTGTCCGCCGTTTCTCATTGATTTCCATGAAAAGTTTTTGTCAGATATTAATAATTGCAATATCGCAATCAATCTGACACGAAGATTCTCCTTCTTTTTAATGTTGCAAAGGGTATTGACCTATAGCATGAGATTTTTATAAAATGTGAAAAATCCGGACAAGGAAAGTTCAGGTGGATTCAAAGTGTTTGAGTTTGATGCAGCATTGAAATTGCTCATGAAGCGAACACAATTATTGTCATTCAATAAGGAAATTGAAACTGATTGTTTCACGAAACCGCTCCAAAAATTAAATCTTTTTTATGATTCAGAAGGTATCCTTCGTGTGGGCGGTCGCCCAACCTATTCAACTTTGACGTATGACAAGAAACGCTCAAATTTGCTACCAAATCGCAGTCGTTTGCCACAGTTATTGTTTGAACATTATCACATCGTTCATTTACCTGCAGGCATGCATACAGTGCAATTTTCACTGGCACAAAAATGGATCTTTGGTTCCAAACGCGCAATTGGTTTGAAAGTCGAAAAATGTGTAAAATGCTGAAGAACCAGCCCCGCACCTCTACAACCCCAATCTTCCATTGCCTTGAATCTCCCAAGCTAAGCCCTTTGCTCATACCTCCGTAGTCCTCATGTTGTCGCCACTGTGGTTCCAAAACTCATAGTGCGTATATTTTGTTTATTTGTTTGCCTCGCCACAAAGGCTCTACATCTCAAATTGGCCACTGATTTATCGATTGCAACCTTTATTGCAGCCCTACAGCGGTTTGTTGCGCGAAGGGATGGATGGTCAACAATCAATTCAGATAGAGGAACTAATTTAATAGGAGTAGCTCGTCTGATGAAAGAATAATTATGTTGAAAACACTCCTATTCCATTGAATATCGAATTTAAAACGCTACCAGCAAATGCTCCTAACTTCGGTGGTATCTGGGCCTGTGAAAAGTCATTTTACCCTAGTTGTAGGTTCTCAAATCCTGAGTTAAGCTTCTTGTACAAATTGAGTCTGTGCTCAACTCACGTCCATTGACACCCTTCGGTAAACATCCCAACGATTTTTCCGCTCTTACGCCATGACATTTCTTGTTGGTCGAACCGCCTAGCGCTGTTTCGCATGCAGATCTTACGTAAGTATCTATGAATCGCATAAGTCGATGGCAGATGTTGCAGCGTCTGCATCAGAATTTTTGGCGACGTTGGAGGCTTGAATATCTTTACACCTTGCAGCAGCGTAGTAAGTGGTTTCACAAAGATACCCCGGTTTCGTTGACAACAATTGTTTTGATTGAAATGATAATTAGTCACCACTGCAATGGTTGATGGGTCGTATATCACAGTTGCATCCTGGTGCAGATGGTGTAGCGCGAGTAGCCACGGTAAAAACAGCTCAGGAAGAACTCAGACGACCCCTTGTTAAACTGTGCAAGCTCCCCATTTCTGAATACGAAAATTAGCTCTCGAGTGAATTATTTTTTTGTTTGTAAATGGCTCAAAATGCTACATTGGGTTTTTTGAGAATATATATACATTGTATGTATATATGATTAATAGTTCAAATTCAAGCAGTCGAATATCGAGTGATATATTCATTTATAAAAAAGTTGAAAGCAATACATATACTTTCGATCTTCCACTAAATTGCTCGATTGAGATGAAAATCACCGGTACAAGGTCGAGTTAAGTACGCCTTTTGAATTCCTAGAAGGTAGGATGTTTAGAGATGTTAATTTAAGTTATTTGAATCAGAAAAAAAAGTGAAAAGGTCACTAGATATTTCGACATATTTGATAGTTTTTTCCTTTATCTAAATTTCCGCAAGGGGAAGCAGTCCTTTCTTTCCACTGACTAATCAGAGTGCAAACGATACAATGTTTATTCAATATAATTCTTAAATGTTATTTGATACCTACCTAACAGCTTTTCAATTGTTTACGTTCACCCCTACTACATTCATGATATTTAGTTGTGTATTAGAAAGATGATGTAATAATTCATTGCGCGGCACTGTCATTGGCATAAGATGGTTTCTTGTTCCGTCAAACTGTTGAATAAATATAGTTATTTATGCAACAAGTGCAAAAAGTGAATTTTTGCACGAGTTGCATACA